TTGCAGCTCAGCATATATAATATGTATCATTAGAGGTTAGCAATGTGCCAGGATGCCTTTTTGACAATACCATTTGGATTCACCAAAGTCTGAGATATTCAAATCATACATTTATGGGTTTTTACAAAAAAAACCTGTCTCCATGTAAAAGTCAGGGGTTAATAGTGGATGGTTGTATTTTAGCTTTGATTGAGATTTTGGACAATAATTGCAGGGTTGGTGGATCATCCCTGAAAGAAAATAGAACCTCTTGTTAAAAGTCTGTGCAGTGTGTTGGGGAAATATTTTCCAAGGCCCATAACTTTGATCCAGTGTATCAGTTCAAACTGTCCTGGCTGAGCACAGGGACCTGTAACCTTGGCTGCTGCGCTCTCAGTGTTTTGTCTCCCTGTTCCTGCCTGTTGGCGTCAGCTGATAGAGGTGTTATCATTCTATCTTGTTATGCACAATGTTGATTATTCTCTCTGAACTAGCTAAATACATGGGTCTGGGTCTCTCTGAGTCCTGTCTCCTATTGCTTCAGAAGTTTCCCCCGCACAGTAGAGCTTTGTTGCTGTTTCCCATGGTGTCTTTTTTGGCAATAAAGTCACTCAAATGTCAGATTAATAATATAAAAGGAATAGATGCATTCTTTATTTAAAAGACACTGTGTCCATTTACAAGTTCCCAAGTTGTGAAAGTTTCAGCCAAAGAGTGAAAGGCTGTGTTTTTGTTGATTTGGAAGCTCAGACAATAATTATAGGGTTGATGGTTCGATCCCTGGCTTCTCCTGTCCACACTGTCTTTGGTTGATTTTAATTAAAGAGACTGCCATGTAGATGTAAAAAATAGACCTGTTGTAAATTGTAATGATAGTTTGAATTTCAAACAGTTTCCTACAAAATGTCAGTGAACCCAAATCAGTGCACATTATTTTCCTCTTCCTATAAAATCATGTAATACATTTTTTGTCAAAATGTAAAGAGTCTTTGATCCTGATTCTGTCATACAGCATTTCCTATCTGAACCTTTATTCAACCTGTTGTTCTGTGTCTCTTACTCATTTGGTCTATCTTCAAACTCCATGTTTGTTCTGAGCCACCACCCTGGCCAGATTTCCCTTCAAAAAAAATACTGTATTAAAGATAAACACATTCAATACCTGTCTATAATAAAAGAAAAATGAATAAATTAGATTCACCTACTTCAAAGGTCTTGTTGTGCCATTTAGGCCTGAATGTAAATGAGACCGACTAATGCTGGAGGTTGCAGGGACATAAAAGAAATGTTATTAAGAGGAAACAACGCTGAAATCAATAGAGGGAGAACTTGAAACACCACGGAATACATTTACAACAGTACCATAATTAGCACTCATATCTGCAGCGTGGAATCCCTTAATTATATTTTGCATGATTTCTGAGATCTTTACAAAGATATAATGGTCGGATGAGTCTTCAGAGGAGATGTGTATAAACGCTGGGGTTTTTGATATGCAGAGAGGCAGCATTGAGGCCTTCAGTGTTATAAGGCTCACAGCAGCGGCCTTATTGTGTGTGGAATTATCATAACCTCCCGCTACCTTTAGGGTCTGGCTTTGTAGCAGTTGCTAAGAGCTTCACTTTACAGCCAATGCAAATGTGTGCATATTGGATTCTCATAAAAAATAAAAAAATACGGTGGCAAAGAGAAACAAAACACAACGATAAACAAATAAAAGATGGACGTGTGTGATGATGGGAATAACAGCTCGGGCCACAGCAAAGTGTAAAACGTGAGGAGTGTGTGTATTACTGCGTGTTCTCCATCAGGCTCAGTGGCTGCCATATTGTGCTGATTGATATACTAAAGCGGGCCATATGGACACTGGGTTAATCCAATGAGGGGGACATCTGGGTGATGATTTATGATTTGGTCGTGATTTGTAAGCTGTGGGTTGCATCCATGACATCATCAGCATTACTCAGAGCCTGTGATGCCAACACTTTTCCTAATTGATGGAGAAAGGCAACCTGCAGAGAGCGCGGATTACAGCGCACAAAAATACACATTACTGTATGCAGGCAGTGTGACATTAATATAGGGTTGTTATACATTATTAAGGAAAAACAAACAAATATGATTTGAAATAACACCAGTGACATTGACAAAGAGTTCAAACAAGACAGTAAATAATACAATGATTTATTTAATTACAGTTAATTAATCATGAAACGGTTTAAGCTGCGTCTGCAGTTATAAGGAAAGGAATAAAAAGCAAAGGAAAATAAATGAAGATAAAGGAAAGGGAAGGAAATGGACAGGAAAGGTGAAGAAAAAGAAAGGGAGGGGAAACCAGGAAAAGGGAAGGAAAGCAAAGAAAAGGGAACGGAGGGGAAGGGAAGGGAAGAAGTGAAATGATAAAGGAAAGAAAAAGATCTGTGTTCACCAAGGGGAGAAAGGGAAGGAAAGCATTAATACACATGTTGAAACAAAAGATAGAAACTGCAAAGGAAAGGAGATGAAAGGGAATGAAAAGAAAGGAGGGGAAATGAAAGGCAGGGGAGAAAACATAGGGGAAAGGAAAGGAAACGGCATCATTTAAGAGGGATAAGGAAATCAAATAAAAAGGAAATAGAACAGTAAAGATGGGAAAACATGTCAGGAGAAGGAAGGGAACAAAACACAGGCTGACATTAAAGAAGGGAGACACAAGGAAAGGGAAACAAACAATAGTAGGAATTATCCACTGATCGTGACAGTGTGACCCTGCTGTCAACTTACCAGCAGGTCCCCCCCCCCATCTCAGACCTTTAACCCCCCTTTGAATGTATTTACCTGGTCACCTGAAAGGATGGATGGTGCGTCAGCTATAATACGATACGATATACGATACGATACAATATTACTTTATTTGTAATACAGCTGTCCAATTGAAGGATTGAGAGGCTTTCAATCCGAATACAATTGATATGAATGTAGTTGTTGACATAGGGTCAAATAGAGATGTCTCTAACAAATGGCAAGAACTGATTCAAAGTGACATTCAATTTAAACGATTATTTTTGCCTCCTTAGTGCACTTTTTAAAGTTACAATCTGATGGATGTAATGTCGGGTTCCCACTTTTTGTGAGTTATGTTGAAGTCAAGGAGCGAATCAAGTGATCAGTGTTATTTAAGCAGGTGTATGTGTACAGCAGCATGCAATCCTAAATGACCGAGCAGAACAAGATGAAGAAAACAACATGATTATTTTATAAGAAATACAAAGTTATACACATATCAATTTCTTTTTTGTACATTTCACTTTAAAGGTGTTATGCAGTGCAATATAATAAGTAAGTGACACTGAAATACATTTCATTTCATACTACTACATACTGTAACTGCATTTGGGGATTTTTCTTGAAACATGAGTTTTTATGATCTATCATTCCTATCAAATATAATTGTATTCGTCAAATGCTGAGCTCGGTGAGGAACGTGAGCCTTACACTAAACGGTTCATCTGAGCATCACACATATCATCAAACTGCTGCAGCAAAAAGCTCCATTTTGAATTGTCCTACTGTGCTCTCTGTAGTTGAAGCAACATACAATGCAAACTTCATATCAAAGTGAAATTGCACAAAGAACTATATTTTCCTTGTCGTGTACCTTATAGTTTGAGTCTGAATATTGTAATTGCATGACAATCAAAAAACACATATTTTAAACTTGACAGTTATTGTCAGTCTGATAAACAAAGAGCTAATTAAAAAAATGTTATCATATTTTTTAATCCTTTTCCAATCCTCCTTAGTATACCTCTGTCTTTACAATCCTTTCTTGAAATGATTTTTTTTTTTCTCTCTTTATTAACACGGTAAATTCCACTTTACATTTTAAAGGAGCAACTCAAAACACAAACAAGAAAATCATTTGACTTTCACCTGGTAATTGTGAAGGACATTTGTACTGCCAGCTAATATCCTGATAACACAGCTAACTGTTTCCAAGGAGCCTCTCAGACATAACATGATAAGCACATCATGTACTGTACCTGTGAGAAGATCCTGCAGTAAACTGAGATGTAGTAATGCAATTACCACATACCGGCAGATATGTACATTTACTGAAGTACTGTACTTAAGTACAATTCTGAGGTACTTAGAGTATTTCCATGATATGCTACTTTGTACTTCAACCACTACATTTACTTTGGATTAATGATAACAAATATGATCAACACTTAAGACATTAGTTACACCTGGAGTAAACTCACTTGCCAGCACTTGATAAATACATTAATACATAAATGATTATAATTAAAACATGTAATAAATAGGATTGTGAAATGTGCCAATAAGGATCAAAAGTAATTTAAATGTTGGTACTTGAAGTATATTTTGATGCCAATGTAGTGTTTGTAATTTTTTTTATTTTACTGTACTAATTTCTTACATATATATTGTGTGTAAATACTATCTTTATTTTTATTTATTTTTAAAGTATTTTCAATAGTTTGGAAACATTTTTTTATAATAGTAATATTTGTTGCTCTTTTTATTTAAAAAAACCCGACCTATTCTTCTTTCTGTGTCTTTGAATGCACCATTTACACCAAAGCATAGTCCTCGCCAGGGTCAACCTACTATTCTGATTCTGATTATACTTTTACTTCAGTAACATTTGTAATACAGGACTTGTACCTGGAACAGAGTATTACTACACTTTTATTTACTTTTATTGAAGTACATCTGAGTACTTCTTCCACCTCTGCCTACCAGCATGCAACTTGAAGACATCCCTCCCCAGCAGAGGCAGCAGGAGAGTGGTCAGCTCTCTCCACGTAACAGAAACAAACATCTTAACTGCAGCCTTTAAGGGATTGTGCTTTGTGGAGAACTTTTTCTGTCCGAGAAAGAGACAAATTGTGTTTTAAATGAAAGGATATGTCACTTGAGAGGCAACAATAGGCGCCTCTGCATGGGGCTGACAGATTTCAGCCAAACATTTGAAAGAAAAAACAACAACTAATCTCTCCGTTGATCCTTTTCAGGCATGAGCAACAGATCAGACACGTGACGCAGCATCAGCAGCTTCTCCCACTGACGGCTCAGAGTCTCCCTGCAGGGAAATCCTCTTTGTCCCAGCCCAGCGCGTCTTTCAACAGGATGTACCAACAGAAGGTGAGGTCAACTATGAGCAAACTCTGCACAAAGGGATCTGGAGCTGGATTTGATGTTCCACAAAGCACTGGTCATATTCTTTGAAGATTGTAGCCTCCTACCCCCGTCAGGTTCTGAGAGAGTTAATTAAACATTGGACAGCTTGGGGTCAAGCCTCGGCTCAAAGTGAAAAAGAAAAATACTTTTTTTTAATTATGTCATTGTGGCAGGATGCTGCATTAAATATTTGTTCAAGCGAATTATCATTAACTTCTGGTGAAGTGCTGAAAACAAGTTTTTCCATTTTCATGCAAACACCTAAAAGCATATTGGTTTTGTGTGTTAGTTATTTTCTGAAATGTCAACTACTGTACCACTTCATCTGCATGTCGACTGAATTCATCTCTTTTTTTTTATTTTAATCATTTAGTATCTCAAACACGATTATTAATGAAACTTGGAGTTACACATTCTGGTTTTTACCTTTTACCAGTTATACACAGCACACTCCCAATACTTTCAGCTTTTAATCTTGAAACGTACAATATGTTGTTTCCTGCCACTAGGGGTCTCTCAATCAAAACAGTAACAACAAAAGGGAGTTTGGTGGCCATGTTAGCATCATGGGAGTTTGTATTTAAAGACAGCTTCTTCAAGTGGTAATAAACATCGGTCTACTCCTCCTAAATACCAATAGACCCTTTGATCAAAACCGCTAAAAACACTCATTTACTTTTTCTGTTTTACTGGCGGACACAGGGCGTAGCGGATGCAAGCAGGTAAGACACTTGAACTTGCAGTAACCTTAATCATAACTTACACTTCAACTCAAACTCCAAGCTCAATGTCACTTAGTCCAGGCTTGTCCAGGCTCCTTTCAGTATATGAAACAGCCTAAACTTAAATTAGTTTCTGCTCTTTTATCTCATTCAGTAATTGTATTTTACCTCCCACTTTAACTTCAGCTTTTACTCTTATTTCAAATGCACATTTTAAGCAATTGTTTTCATTGTTCAGCTAAGTCTGTTTTCTAATATGCAAATTACTTTGACCCCTTATACCATAACTGACATTTGAACAGCTTTCACCACTTTGTTTAACAGAAATCTTGACTGCATTAATCCCTTCCTCTTTAACTGATATTTCTAACCCTTTTGAATTATTAGGCTTTTTGCTTTAAGCAACATTAAACAAAAACGTCTTCCGCTCTTCTAACTCTCACACCTGTTCACACACTACAGTACACCTCAGCGGCTTTCAGCTCTATCACTTCAGCTTACACTTGAGCTGACTCATGTTTTTTTGTTTACACAATTCAACAGGCACTTCCAGCCCAATGTACCACTTCTGTTGCATTTTAAACCATGTGCTGCACTTTTACTTCAGCTTTCATTTTAGCTAGCTTTTATTCACACCCTTAAATGTACCCCTTCTTTCAGTACTCCCATTGTAACCACTATTTTAACTTCTTTCAGTATTTTTCCACTTTTAAAACAACTTTCAGTTGCTTTCTCAAATACTATGTCAAGCTGCAAATGTTTTGCCACATTTCAAAAACGTGTATAAAAATCTAAATCTGAGTAATATGGCTAAATGTATGAGTGTTTCTAGCCCAAGTTCTTTTTCATCCCCCCCCCCCTGAGTGTGTTGGCAGGGCAGTGGCAGTATCTGAGCTGTTGGCTGCCCTTCCATGTCTTCTGTTGTTGTTTTCTGGCGGCCTCAATGGGATGGGTAGTTTGTGAAATGACAGGACATGCCAACAAATTGCATCACTTCTGGCTCAGCGGCCAAGGACAATGCCATGCCATATGCCAATCGGGGGGGTCATGGGTAGAGGGATGAATGGGTCTCATTTCCATGTGCTCCCTTCGAAGCCTAACCCCCCCCTTATCCCACCCCAAAAAATGCCCGACTCCAAGCTCTCTGTTACACACACACACACACACACACACACACACACACACACACACACACACACACACACACACACACACACACACACACACACACACAAAGCCCTGTCGGGAGGCTGATCTTGGCCGGTGGTGTGACACAGACATACGAGCTGACACATCAGCCATTAGCCAAAACAAAACATCCAGAGATGGATTTCAACACGAGGCGGGCCGGAGCAGCCTCATTGTCTCGTCTCTCAGTGGCTGCAGCACAGAGTCATCACAGCCACATACTGTACACACTGTCACTCTCTCGGAGCATCTGCTGTGTATGAATCAGCAAGAGACAAATAAGTCTGTCTTTATGTTCTTCTCAAAACTTTGTGTCGACCTTCGTTCTTGCATTTGATCTACTTTGTGTTGATATTGAGTTGATTTTCAAATGTTGAACCAACTTAGCATCTCTCCAAGTTGTATTTACTTACTACTACTACTACTACTACTACTACTACTACTACTACTACTACTTACTTCTACTTTCTAATTTGTATCTGTGTTTTTATCTACCTTACATTCATTTACATTTATTTTCTCTTTCTGTATCTTCAGTGGGTTTTTTTTTGTCAATGTTTTCTTTTTTTCCTTTTTTTTCTGTATACTTTCTACTTTTTATGATTGTATCTACTTTTACTCTTCATTCATATTGTATCTACGTTCTTCGTATTATTTTTGCCTTTACTTTACACTTCTCTGTCTCCTTACTGTAGTTTCTACTTTGTCTATATCATGTCCACTGTTTTCATTGTAACATACTACTTTTATAATATAATGCTTGTAGATGTTTATGATGAAAACTATTTAAAAACTCTGAAAGTTAGTTGCAACATAATGTGTCACTGTACTTTAATCCTGTATCCTGTAATGTTGGCTAAAAGATGCAACATATGTTTCATGTTGATTTAATGGTAGATAATTAGACTATGATAACCTAAATGTAGTTTTTGTTTGTTAGTTTAAAAACAAATATATATATATTAAAGACATCACAATTACTACTACAAAGTGATTGCAGTGAAAATATTGAACTTAAGACTTTTAGAGGTATTTTTAAATGCACCTTTTATTGAAGTTTTAGATATTATTGCTGATTTTATCTATATTACTAGTATTAAGCTTTGCATTGATCTTACACTTGTTTTTCAGTAGGACACAGTCACATTTTGGAAAGTTCCCTCCAACTGTGTCCCCGTTCCCATATCTCTGGGATCACAGGTTTAAACAGTGTACGGTAATTTGACCGGCGAGAGACGAGCCAGTGATTTAGGAGCATTTTTTTCGTTGACACAATACAAATGAGGATGGTGCTAGAAGGTCAAGCAGCCTGTGCCATCGCCATAATCGTGCTAATTGGGACAATATGTGTGTGATAAATCACCACAGCCTGACATGGGATCCTCTAATCGCCTTTATTTTGTTTCTAAATGTATCATTACTTTCACCGCTTTCGCTTCAAAGTGAGCTCTTCCATTGTTTTAAGAGATGCAGTTTAGCTGCTGACCATATGTTTTTAAGGAGCATATGTTCTGCTAATGCTACCGAGAGAGGGAGGGAGGGAACTGTGAAAGGGTTTTAACCTTCTACGTGGGGGAAGTTGTGTGGTTAATACTCCAGCCACCTCTCCACTGGGCCGGTGCCAACTCTTCCTCCAGCCTGGGCTCTGTGAGGAGGGGTGGGGGGTGGCGAGACCCCGCAGATGCTTTCTCTCGGTCCCCTCTACCTCGCAGCCAGATGCCAAGAGGATAAACTCTGGTAGCTTCAGGACCACAACATCAAGGTTGTGTCCAAACCTGGAGCCTGTGATATTAGTCATGGGCCGAGCGTGATGTATGATGCCAGTTTTTGTTTTGGCTCAGCTACATCTAAAATCACAAGACAATACAACATAAAATAAAATAATAGAAAAATAATATAATTTAGTATGATGTAAAGAAAAAGGGAAAAATGCAGAAAGTGATGAAAGAATGTCTTACTAAACTTTAAGCTAAAGAGAATAATTAATATCGACATTAACATTGACATTATGTGTTACAGTTAATATTAATAATAACACATATTATTATTATTATATATAATTATTACATTATTTATAAAGTGCTTTAAACAGAACTCAAAGACACTATTCTGCAAAATTAATAAAACATAAATATAACAACACACTTAAAATATACTAAACCATATTTATTACAGATTAATAGTTACTTAACAAAACCCCTGAAATAGTATGATTCATTATTAAAGCCTACTAGGGAGCATCATCCAAAACCAACAAAACACAAACAGCATTTGTATTATCATTAAATGTATATTTTGTACCCACTAAACTTATTTTAACTAACATAGCTTATGTTAGCATGCTAGTTTTTCTAACGTGGATAGCAGCTAAAGTTGTGAATTCCAGTTCAGTTTAAAGCTGATTGGGATCAATACTAAATCAATCAATAGCCTACATATATTAATAAATGAACACTTGCAACACTTTTCTAAAGGTTATAATATGTTATTTGATCCAAAAAATGTAAGAATTATGCTAAGTAGTTTATGCTCTGTCATAAGCTAACTAACAAGTTAGAATAGGGTGACCAGACGTCCCCGTTTTCCGGGGACAGTCACCGTTTACCGGGGACAGTCCCCGTTTGTATTGGCCTGTCCCCGGTTGAAACTGTCCCCGGAAATGTCCCCGTTTTTTAATATACGTTAAAAACACATAGCAAGGTAAAATAAAACGTTTCATGTCAGGAAACACTGGGTAAACAGACTGTGGTCAAGCCAGCCCCCACTTCGGAAAACACAGTCACGCCAGCCCGCACGTTGTATTGCGGTGCACGAATAGATAGATAGAGGCCTGTAAAAACTGCCTTCAAAATAAAAGCGTTTACTCGGTCAATAACAAATATACCTAAAAAACACACCAAACATATTCATATATACTGGAGCTTACATTAAGAAATATGTACTATATAATGTGATCAATAATAATTTAAAACAAACTACGTATAACTACCACATTATAACTGAGTGAATGTCAAATGTAAGTATCAGTGATGCAAATTAGTCGCTTTTCGGCGCCTCCCGCTTTTTTAACGCTGCTTTGGGTGACTTGTG